CAGATGCCTAGGTTATACAAACGCAATGGTATTTTGGCGATTTCGAAGGGACTTTTTAAGAAAGTAGCCCTGCCACGAAAGAGATCAGTGGGCTCTGAAAATAAAAGACCGCTCAAAACAGAGGAGCAAAAAGGCAAAAACGACTATAATTGCATCTAATATAAAATTTCGTCCATATCGCCAATCATCAACAAGTGGCATCTTACTTCCAGAGACGGTGGATCTTCGAGAAAGTAGTGTTGGTGCATTGTGTGAAGTCAGAAAGCCTCGAAACAACTGTATCCTGCGATGAAACTGAGAAGGTATCATCATGCATAGCGTCTTCCCGTTCATCGACACTGCCACCCTACAACACAACAGATCAGATTTTTGGAACAACTGATAAATGCTTAAAACGTTATGATTTAAATGCCAATTTAGCAACTATGAAAATAAATCCATTAAAATTATCAAATGGATGAGACACACAGCGCTGTCTAATATAACTGTGGGGGTGATGCTTATCTTATAACTATAGGAGCATGGCGGAGAAATTGGGTCGAGTTCAGTGGCTGCAGACACAAAAAAATACAACAGAGCGACGATGAGTGCTCCTTTTTAATACTAATATGCGTATGCAAGAAATTGACACCATGGGTTGATTTGTAAGATATGATTTTATTTAAATAAAATGCGGCTTTAAGGTTTTGGTGCAGGACGAAGGTTTAGGCCGATGTTATCGGCCTTTCTCAACCGGAAACAACACAGTATACTAATATAAAAATATAACTGCACATTGTAACGAATGATTCCCTAAGGACAAGATTTCACGTGATAGTGCACCACTCCCTTGTTCCTGGTTGAACAGAGGACCACTTATGCAGGCAACGACTCCATAGTAGTTGAATACCTGCAGTGCCAGATCAATCTCGCATCAATTTATTCTCTAGAGCCACCTCGGGCTCCTCACAAATAACGTATCAAGAGCTGACACTCGTCAAATATTGCCGCATAAACATAACACGCCGTTTGCACACCTGACAATGTTACATACAAATGACTCATCAAAATCCAGATTTCACGACGTATTGCACCGCTCCTTGCTCTTATCCATGGGTCATTTAAGCAGACTGCGGTTCCATGGTATCTGAGCACCTGCAATGCCAGATGCATCTCCTATCATATATTGTTTACAGTTCAAAATAACTGGTAACATCAGCCAAAACCTTTGTTCCCACGCATGTAAACTGAATAAAGTCATATCTTACTCATGAAATTTTTAATACCTTCCACTTATCACTAGTTAAGTAGAAGACGGTTCATACAGTCATTCACTGATAATGAATCAATATGAACTTCAAAAGATATTAACAGTGAATAATGTATTATGCTGTAGAATACTCTTGTTGATCCCATGCCATTCTTGAATGAGTTAAGATTCGACGGTAACAGGCAAAATAGATAAAAAATATTCAGTCAGACTTCGACTTACGCATACTCACTCCAGCTAACGAAAATT